CTTTACGTAATCTTAACTTTGTACAAATATATTATCATATCACTGACCAATAAATGGGAAACTGCATGCACTTAGCCAGTAGCCACATAGTGTCCTATCGGTCTATACACGCTTCCCTGCTTTAATCTGTGAAGTTGTTATTAATCAGACAGCAGTATTTAATAACCAGTTGGCTTTACGGCAATTCCAATTATTAGTGTCCTAACTGAAGATTTTTTATGAATATCAAAAGTTATCAAAAATCAATAGGGCAAGATCTCAATAAACCTACATCCATTGATACTACACACGGCCTATTCAAATGACTAATCGCCTATTGGATTCTTCATTGACTCGTAGTGGCTATAGGTCAGCAATGATATGAGGAGGTTGGGACCTTGGTGATCTTTTTACAAGAACTACTGTTTATATCGCTTTTCAACTGATATAAAATGCCTGATGCCTTTGACACCATAAAGATTAAGGCATACTTTCACGACCTTTGATATTTATTTTGACAATAAGTATGCATATTTTTAATCTAGTGGTAATGCTAATTTAGTGGACATAGTTCTTTTAAAAGTATATTTATTGGACACTAGAGATTTCAAAGTTCATTTTGTTGCCAAATTCAACACTACTGAATTGCATTTAGGTGCTTTGTCAGTCATAAAAAGTACTTTAGTACCAATTCTGTGGGATAGGACTTTAGGTTATTGAATTCGAATTGTGAACGAGGAGTCACTTCATGGGTCATGTTGAACTCTTTTTGCCCATCCAATAAAAAGTACTACACTTGGCATTTCATGAGCACAATGGCAGAACCGGAAACCCTATGACACAATATGTCAATAATATGTACGGTAAAAGGAATGATGAGAACCCGGGGTGCCTTCCCAAGAGGAAAGCTCTATGGACAATTATAGCGGGATGATGTTGGGACAATCAGGAATCGATGAACTAAAGATTTTTCACCACCCATTGCACAATAACAGACTGTATAAATAAGAATGTCTCAAAGGTTCATAATATCAATAAATATAACATGTTTTATACAATGGATTTCAAATAGTAACATTAGATAACAAGAATGAGGCTCCGGGGCAGTAAAGTATTGAGGGAGCGAACGACATCGTTATTCAATAAACTATGGACTTGAAGAAATTCCTAAATTAACAGATATAATTTATTCATTTTGTTCATTATATGGTATCAATGTGTTGTGGGCCTTAGTTTCTCATTTCAAATACACCCCTCTATCAAGTTAGACCCGCATCTACCCCCATACCACTCCATAACCCTCAGAACCAGAATGGACGTTTACATTGCCATGCCAGCGTATCCATACTATATCAGTTTTCGCGGTCACTGTGCCCTGATCTTGACTTAACCTTTGCCCAGATGTTTAGCACATATTCCACTCAATCATCAACCACTATATCATCTTGTTATCTCACACAGACAAAATACTAGAGAAGCTTGCAGCATACTCAGATATGGTTATAATACAAGAATATTATCTCCTGCCTTGCCGCTCTCAACCGCCACTCGAACATCTATTTTTGATTCCCATTATTGCTTAAAACATATTAACCTTTACTTATGTTGTTTATGATACCCCTAACCTGTCACTCTGCAGAGGTCAAAATACGAAATTCTAAACTAAGCTGTAGTAGATTAAATTACAAAATAAGCATTTAGTTCACAATGGGTCGCAATAACCTCAACAATCAGGATCTAAATAGAGGTACACCTCAAAACATAACCCCCATGAAAGGTTATGAATCTAAACAGTTGTAAGCTCTACCACATGGTACATATGGCAGTGAACATCTTATATCCATCAAACGATTATTTGGAACTTACCGACTTTAAACCACATCAGCCTTAGATGTTCTTAGATGTTTTTTGTACATATTATCATCAACACTACACTTAAACATAAAAAATAATTGAGTTACTGCATGTCAAAAGGTAGACCTTACTACAAGGGTCGCCTTTCCCGTGATACTGTTTCAGGCCACACTAATCATAATAATGTAACGCAATCAAGTAACTGTATGGAAATACATCTATGACATGGACAAGATGAAATACCAATCAACACAGACGATTACTAAACCTAATCCAAAAAATTATTGCATTAACTGTGAAGTTACAAATATTACCAATTCACCTCATAAGTAAGCTACAAAAGAAATGTCTAGTAAACTCAGCAATCAATCAGCAACAATACATGATCTTTGCATTGATCTTAGACCTGTATAGGAAATCAATGTGAAGTGTCTACAGTTGTAGAATCTACTTGTACCTTGTTAACCCTATGTTAACCGGAGGTTGTGATAACTTGTGTGGTTCGCTAAAAGATAACACGAGGGTGATAGGGTTAAGTATAAGGTCAAGTTCAGCTGTAATGTATATGCTATACCATCTAAATACTGTTTCCTCACGGGTAAAAGTGAGGAGATGTAGCTGAGTTGGACACTTCAGATATGAGGGCAAAATAATATGGCAATAACTGTCAGGTCAAGATAACCTTGTAATTATGCCATATTACAGCATATTGTTATGGCATAATAATTGTTCTAATTAATCTAATATATGACCCAAAAGGAATGTAGGCTGCCTAAGAGGATACTCCAGGCACTACATCAAGAGTTGACATTCTTGTATATGCAAATGTGAATACTGACATGATCCAAATCATGCATGTTCATATTGTCCATGTTATATGTCCGAATTTGTATTGATATTATTCAAACATTGTTCAAGTCAGCAGACTGAACATTCTAAATCAATTAAAAAGACCAAGCATGATCCCTGTATGCACATTAACCGTAAGTGCATTATGAATAAATAGTTCAAAATTATAAATAATCCAGAAAAAATGCTACAAAATGCACATTACTACAAACAAATATGAGTACAAAAAGTATGAGTATAAAGTAAACATTTGGTAATAATATAGATAAGAATTTTCAAGTAATCAAATAAATCCAGCAAAAACTTTTACAACCAGTAACTCATATGCCATTCAATTCCAGTTATCTGGATTGGTGTATCTTCTTCTGATGAGGTCTAGTGACCTTGGTCATACATTGTCTTTGTAGTTCATAAAAGTCAAAAATGTTACAAGTATAGTACTATGCTTACTCGAGTAACTAAGTGATACAATCTTTTATGAAATTACAACTTAACATTTTTTTGCTACAATTATGCAATGAAGTTGTTTTATGACCATTTTCATATGAGATCTCACTTGAAATTGCAGTATTATACTAGAAAGTGAGTAAGTGGTCTCTCAATGTAGTCATTGAATGAAGCTGACCATAAAACTTGGAATGCAATATTTCTTTTTATGACTGCAAGAAACAAATTGAGCACAAAAATGTCATTGGAACAAAAGTAAAACTGACAGGGAAAGTCCTTGTAAAATACTCAAAGTTGAATAATAAACTATAAATACCTTATAAGGACCCTGAATACGATTTAAATGTGAAAGCACATTAAAAATATTTACATTAACAAAAGTAAAAAGCGAAGCTGAAGAATTTGACATTCACGTTTCAGAAAGGGTAAGCCGTTAAGCATAGAATGAGGCTTAGCACTGTATCTAAGCTAAATAATGAAGAATGCTCATGAGGAGTTCCCTACAACAATGAGCATTACACTAAGATATAAATAGATAAAAGTACATATCACAGATATTCTGGTCAGTGATCCAGGCAATGCTATTTTAATATATCAACAATATAAATTCCCTTTTTAGGTTAATTTATGTAAAATAAACATTAGGTGCATATCTACTAAATTCAAATCTACAACATGAGTTAGTCAAAACACTGATTCAATTTCAAAAAGGTCTTTGCTCAACAAGCAGTAGAATAATACAGGCTCATCATGCGGTATCATGTTGAGATTAAGCAGGTCACTAAAGGTTAATAGCATTAATCCTAGAAGCTAACTAGCCACCTTTGATTAACACCTTCAATCCAACTCGTCTGAGTCAGGTATACTAAATAAGGGAACATTTCAAAATATTGCTTTGTAAAAGACAAAAAAAAAGTAAAAACAAAACCTTGAATTACAGCTAAAAATATCCAAATATAGGAAAGATTTATTGTATTTTAAAAATATGTCAAATTCCTATAAAACATACAAACCCCTCAAAGATAATCCATAATTCAAGGAAAATCCCAATCTGTCAGTTTATATTAACCACCTGAACAGCAAGTTGAAAAATATAAAAGCAAGTCAAAATCATGTTCCCAATACTTGCATTCAACTGCTGTACGTATAGAGTAGAATACAAGAGATCACGAAAACACAATATCCTGAATTCATGAGGGGAACAAAGTGATGACTACCCTTAATCCAAGGATTACCTTTACTAAATGGAACATGTAATGTTGATTACCCTGTAAAACCAAGAATACTAAACAGGAGGACAGAGTCATAACAGATAAAGCCATGAATATCTAGCATTGAAAAGCAACATAATAACACTGTAGTGTTCACCATACCTGATGATATGATATAAAAATGTCTAAAAGGCTTTTTAGCAAATTGGATAATACATGTAGGTGTGCAAAATATGTTAGGAGAAAGATCTGCAGTTATCATTAATTTTTTACGAATATAAATGAGTATTCAGATTAGAAATAAGTCGTTTTTATTCGACAGCTACTAGCCATATACATTAAGCGATTATCAAGTTGGCGTGTGGAATCCCTAGTTGATTTAGGCAGGGAAGCACTGGTATCTTTGGACTGTCTAGCATGTTGGTTAGTGTCTCCTTTAGATGAAAGCTTTATTTTGCTAACACTATCTAGGATATAACTGTTAGCAGTGTTAAGCTCAGATTTGCTTGCATCTAAAGAGGTTCTTTCAGTTTTAAGCCTAGTCCCAGCTATCAGAGTATCATAAGTATGTGCATTATTATCTGGTTGTTGTGGAGCAGATGCAGCTGAAGCAATAGCATGTATAACAGGTTGAGAGTTAACATCAGTTATGCCTTTGCTCTAAGTAACTTCAGCACCTTGTTTCTTTACAGCCATACCATCAATTGCACCAAGTTCCTTTGTTTTTGTAGTATCAGTCCTGCCTAAAATTGGTGCACTTGTTACATTTGAATCTTTAGCAGGATGCTGGATTGATTGTTTTGACAATGGTGCACTTCCTAAAATGTTTCTATCTTTCTTTTCTCGCCATGATGTACCACTTGAATACATTGGCTTAGAGTAACGTTTTGCTGGTAACTGCAGCTTGGGCTGTGCATGCTTTGGTGGAATGGTCACTTGCCTTCTTAATTGAAATGGCGATGATCCTGTGGACTTCGAGCCTGACTTTCTATTCGATGGATCTGATGCATTCTTTGACCAGGTTGATGATGCTTCTGAGGCAACCATTGATGGCCCATGTGTTCTAGATCTCATTAAAGCCTACAAGTAAATATGAATGAGACCAATTAGTGAATGTGACTTCGTTTTACTTTTGATAAGATTTGTATTTTATGTTACTGAAGAAATAGTAATGACGGAAATCTGAAACTTGACAAACAACCATGATTATGATATCCATCATTCATGAATCTTACACAACTCAATGCTTTCCATCATTTCCCTATGGTATACCTTCTGCCCTTTATGAAGGGACAAATATTATATTTAATAGGGACAACTTAGCAAATGACATGGTGGCAGCAACAGTCTCACATCCTAACTAAGTTAACCTCTAGACACTTAGAAATCAATAAGATCTAGATGGGAAAATATATTAAGGGATATCTATACACAGGGAGCAAGCCTTTTCAACCATTCTATTAAAGGTTAAGAGAAAAGTATGTGAAATGTCAATATTAGTTTATACTGTTCATTAGTGTTAGTTTAGCATGTCATGATTTTCATTGGGGGATAAATCACTCAATTCCCTCTACAAGAACTTCTTCTTATCAAATATTACTCATATTCACATCTGTAATCCAATGATTGATATTGCTTTCCCTTTCTATTCAAACATCTCGTGTAAATTGGCCAAATGAGATGACATTTTTGTTCTTTTTTTATAATAAAGAGCATAAAGGAGTGGTTGCAAAAACAAACAAAGGGCATCATCTGGTCAAATAAGGAAGCTAAGAACTCTACATTTGGTTTATTTGTGCCAGTGTAAACCTTGCTTGATTTTACTATGGATCTATCTATTTACTACACCACATTTACTATTAACACAATTCATCTCTAAATTGACTGTACAAGGATTTCTATGTCTATCAAAGTTAGAGAAATATATAAAAACCTGTACCATATAGTCACCATATAGTATAGTAAAGTGGCCATAGTGGTTGATAATGCTTGCTTAAAAATGTCATTTTTTCCTGAACACAAGCCTATGAGTGTACTAAAATTTGAGTGTACTAATAGGGCAGTGCAAAATTGTTATTTTTCAGCTTGTGTGTAGAACTAATTCAAATTTAGTCTTGTTGTATATGACCAAGTTATGCAAGTAACAAACAATGAAATGGTGTAGTGTGGTACAACTTTTTATGATACATCAGAAATTAAAGGAAAGGGACAGTCATTGCAATCCACATGAAGCCACCTACCTTTTCCATCGCTTCTTTGACAACTTTCTATACAAGCATGCAAGTAAAATCAGTAACAATATTTCATAATCACAAAAACATATAATATTTGTGGTCCATTTGCGTAATTGAGTTTATAAAGCAGATCAGATAATGTGTTTGTCATGCACAAATTTCATTTCTATCAACAAATACAAGATTGTGACAATAATTTCATAATCTATGTGCTTGGAAAAAAGTGATGTGTTAACTTACAGGCCTATTGATAGAACCATCTATGTCGGGCGCCTTGTTCAGCATGTTACTCTTCTGAGGTCTTCTCAGTTTAGTTCTCCCAGCCTTTGGTCCACCTGATTTCTTTGATGTGTCAAATGGGCCACTGTTCGGGCCTGAAGGAAGTTTATTGCCCATAATTGATTCAACGGATAAGAAATCAATATTTTTGAAGTTACCTCCAATCATTGTTTTTTCTTTTGGCACAGAAAATTTATCAGCCAGTGTTTCACTCATTTGTTTTATGGCACTTGGGTTGGACATGAATGTTTTAGATCTTTGGAAGCCCCATGCTGGTACATGCACTGTTGGTGCATTTGGTGCATCAGTATTTACAAGAGCTGGCTTTGGCACATTTTCAGCTGGATTCTCAAAACTAACTTTTGATCTAGGTTTCTCAGCATCAATAGTATCGCCCACTTGTTTGTCTTGTCTATCATATTCAGTCTCCTCTTCTTGGATATGAGGTTCTAACTCAGGAGATTCGGGTACTGGTGCATGTGTGACCACCAGGACTTGTGTTGCATCCCTAACATCCTCATCGTGTTCATATGTTTTGGACTCTTCACGTATCATTGGAGTTTTTGGGATGAAATCGGGAGTCTTTGGTATACCTGTAATTATGAAAATAATTTTCCACTGGATTATAAATTTTTATGTTTCATGAGTTATCTTGGCATACATCCAAATATGGAAAAGTATTTTACCATCACTTTACTCTGATTGTTATATTTATATCATTGGTATATTTAATTCACAATCACAATAACGTTATATTGGATTTACTTACTCATCAATACTCAAATATTGCCTATGGGAAGTTCAACATAACATTCATGAAATATAAACTTAAATAAGTAAGATTAATGCAACATTGAAATAGAAATCAAAATTGATATTTAAGTTAGTAAGTTTTAGAGTTTGAGTGAGTTATCAATATGAACAGTATTAAGATTAGTAAAATATTACTTTTATGTAAGGTGTCTCCAAAAGGAGCTGAGCTATAGTAGTGCTAGCATTATCAAAATTTTGTGAAGATTAATATTTCTCAAAACAGTGTACAAACATATGTATATATAACAATTAGATAATAAGCATATCAAGCACTGGTTAGTATAAAGGTCTAAACATATGAGAACTCACATAAGACTATGATGAGTTTCATTGGTTTATGATTTAAAGGGGTCTATTACTTTCTTCATTTTTCAAATTTTGCTGCTTCGCGTTACTCATTTTATTAGTCCATTAACTAGAACAGCTAGTCCAAAAACAACACGGTTATCTTAATAAATTCAATATTGCTAGTTTAAATAACATGCTTAAATCAAGGCCTTATATTATTTCACTTGCCTTGTTTTTTCATAATTGAGATATTTCACTTGATTTCTTCTCTTTATAATGCGGGTAATTACGACACATGTAGCTGGTTACTAATCTCTTCTGCTCCACATGGTTGTTCTTGTCTGATCCGACTGAATTAAACAATAACAGGCCTGTTTGGGAGCAAAACACGTGCTGAATACAAATAGGATTTCTATTTGTATTCTAATTTAGGTTTGAGTAAGGTATTAAAAAAGCAGTTTGTGGCAGATTTTAAAATATTATAACAATAGATTAAGATTTTATGAAGTTCTGTAGGGACTTATGACAACCTGAATGGCTTGATGGACTTAAAGGAGGTGCCTCACTCTAACAATAACAGGCTGACTTAATATTTCTCTAAGATGGAACTTTAAATTGGAATTGGAATTGGAATAATTGGGACAAGTTTACAAGAAACAACACAGAAGATATGAGAAATCAGAAACATTTTACAACTTAGTGTGTTAATTGATTGGAAAAGGCTTTGGAATGACTTTGCTGGTAGTTTATGTGTAAGGGATATGTAGATTAATGTGCATGTAGATTCAGCTCCTTAATGACCCAAAAATGACATAAAAAATATGATGAATAATAGAATATTATGTACATGGTCTATTTAGTTTAAATAGAGTGCTTGGAGCTGACAAGAATCAAAGTCTTTATGTGTGAAAAAGCCCTTTGTATCATTATTGTTAAACCTTGATTGTGTTGACCTATTTGATGTTTTAGCAGTTTGCACAGCAGTTCTGTTGTTTGTAATTTATTTATTTGAAGAGAGTCAGATTTGAGTTAATCCGACATCCCTACAAACACGGACTTCAAACACACTGGTAATGATTCTTGTTATTATCAGTATTTTTACAGCAATTATTTGAGGAAAAACAATTTAAGCAACAATTTAAGTCATGATCTGATGACATTATTTGTGAATTGCGATTATTTACCTAACCCTTATGGTTTAATTACATAGTGCTTAAATTGCTGCAATTTTATCTGTTTTAAAGCAGCTTCTCATTTCCTATCCCATTTATCAGTGTTAAATTCTCAGAAGCACTCAACAAAATGTTAGCTAGCACACTAAATTTGAAGAAAAAACACCTGAAAGACTAGCGCAAGACAAAACACACAGAGGGGGTTGTGATTACCCATAAGTCATTGACTACACAAATATCAGGAAAATCAAGTCAGATTTGTCAAAGGAGGTTTGATCGATCTTGTTTTTTCAACCTCCTTTGTGACATTGCACCACATTGCACTATATAAGGAGTTTAGACATAGCTCTAGGTCACCAAAAGCGTCACATTTCATATTGATTTCGTCTGGTAACATACCTGTCTGCAATCTACTCTCACATTGTGGGGTTGGGGCATAGAACTCTGCTAATGTCATCGTAGTCTTTTCACGCTGAAGACCTTCTGGCAATGCTACATCAGATTCGGTGTCAGCAGTCAATTCGCTACATGTCTCCCACTACAAAATATTCGTCCTCAGACTTACTCACACATAAAATAAACACTTAATATTAAAAATGAATATTTTAAATACAATAAAATTCTTGGAAATTTGATGAGGGGAATAGCAATAGGGTTTGTAAGTGTTTGTCTCATCCTTTTGCTCCATAGATCAATTAGAAGGTGAGGTAATACTGTGCTTCATATTCCAAGGATAGGATGAGTAAAGTTATTAATTGTATTGACTTTCATATTTTATTACTCCATCGTGACATATTACAGAATTAATTAATAAATGTGATCTCCTTCCGTGCCCATAAATATCATACTGTCTACCATGGTACCCTTATGCCCTTTAAGCTTTCATTTACTTGTCCGATTCACTATGTTATGTTTGCATAAGTGACTTAACTTTTCAAACAAATGGTACCTAATAAGTAATGAAGTATTGTCTAAAAATCCCTGTGAAAGTAAAAAGGTCGCTATAGTTGATTAAATTGGACTTTTTACTCTCATTAATTGTAAAAAAACATATTCGTGTAATTATCTGCATAACTGTTATACAAACATGACACGGAAGTGTCCAGTGAATCAATCCGGTAAATGGGATACATTAATTAAAACAAGGGAAGGCCTCAATGAGACGGAAAGGTAAATCAGATACGTTAACATATCAATTACTGAAACATACAACCTTCACTCTACACCTGTAGAAAATACCAATAGTTTGTTTTTTATATAAATTAATAAGGAGATTGATGTATCAAGCCATCAAAAAGGTTAATCTCTTTCAACTAGCGCACACTTCAAGCTAACCTCTTGACCACTTTCTAAAAACAGTTCAAAAATGACATGTGGTCACTCACACTTTTAAAGCTTTTCACTTTTCATCAATATAAAAAGTTATTAATTTTATGTCGCTGCAAGTGAAATGGAGTGTCACGTTGCTGGCCTTTATAGAGGTTCTATAGATAGAGGTCAGACCCGTTATCATCCCGGGTCAAACTACTGTTAAAACCCTCAGATTTCAATTTCCCCTGACAGACTATGGGTCAATAAACATAAAAAGGTAGTTCAAGCAATTCAGATTGAGTGTCAAGTGTTTTGAATGAAAGTGAATTCACAAGTCTGATTTATCACAGAATAACATTTAATGCTGCATAAAATACTGTATTGAATTCAATGTACATTTATTCCACCTGTTGGGAGATGGGGATGGCGAATAAGTGTGGGAACGTACTCTGAAACCCCATCATATAGCCATACAGCCCTCTTACTACTACAGATAATTTTACCGTTTCATACCAATCTTACTGATCTCAAATGCAATGGTATTCTATGGGAGGTTGATCTCTATTATATATACAAATATTAGCTATATATAAGTGCTATGTGGTGTCTCTATTGAATATAGTTCTTTCAAATTTAAAGAGTGAACAGTACATAGACAAGCCTTTGTAGAGTTTAAACAAATCATAGCTTTACACTGTCACTTTCAATGCTGTAACACCCAACACCTGTCCAATCGCATGTAATGTGACATTTGGCAGTTATATATGAAACTGATTCATGATGATACTCAAATGAAACCTCATTCTATTAATTCTGATTAATGCATTGTGTATATCAACTGTTATCCCACAATAAGTACTTAGGGGAAGCCTCTCGGTCTGTTTAATTAATGTTTCCGTGGCAACTTGTATTTTCGGAGTTATGTATGCTTATATAGGCAGGTTTTGGGAATTAACTAGATCATGATATAATATGATATAATATAATATACGTAATGTAATATAATATAACATAATATAATAAGAATATCTTTATTGATAACATAATATAACATTACATAACATAACATAATTTTAAGCTTAAAAAATACTGTGTATTATAATGGGACAGTATATAACGATACCAAACAAACAAATAAACAGACCTACCTGATCAGGGGAGGTACTTTTTTGATCAGATGTCAATATTCTCCTATCACTGCTCAGCTCAGGGGGTACTGGTTGAATTGTCTCATCCTGATCACTATCAGAGTCTGTGTTGAGTTTCTCCCAAACTAAATCAAAACATTGCAATATATACCTTTTAAATCCAATGACTCAATTCATATCATTCCAGTTAAATTGACAGTTTTATATACTGTATATTAAAAACACAAACTTTTCTTGGACCCATTTAAAGGATGCATATTAATTTGTTGATCAACAAAGCAAGCTACAAAAGCAGTAACATAAAACACATGAGCATGTATACCAGGGCATCTTCCAATCACTGAGGCAAGTGACCACTACAACCACATTTTAAAAAGAAAGTTTGAACCAACTTAAAAAAACATTTGCACCCACTAATAAAACTTATTTGCGCCCACTTTATAAATCAGAAGAAAAAAAATTTTTACCAACTTTTGCCAAAAACACAATATAAAGCTTATAAGAAAGACTCTTTATAGCTCAATCGAGAAAAATCTATGGAATAAATTTCCATGTAAATCAGATGAGAAAATTCTGAATTCCAACTTTGTCATTTTTACTCTTTATGAAGTTATTAAAGCCACCCTTTAATTAGTATGAGGAAGATATGTGGACAATAAGAGAGGTCCCTAGATCAACCTAATAGAATGAAATGACACATCAGATAAAGCCCTCAGAGAACAGTCTACTCATAATCATCATCATTAAATTAGTTTTATCACCCCATATTTATACCCCAAAAATATCTCACTGGCCCTTAGAACCTTCAAGAGAAATGATGTTTTACGAGGGATCACGATTGTTAGAAACAATTGAAAGGGAACACAAATTCTGGTTATTGACTCTAAATTGTTTGCTGTTAAACAATGAGTCTTAAAAAACTGGCGGTTGTTCAGGTGATAAAAATTGTTTTTTTCTCAAGGAGTATATATTTGCCAAGAAGAATATGACAATATGTCTCTATATACCACCTGCTGGTCTCAAGCAGGCGAGAGTGAAAGTTTAGGGACGTCAATTGGACCCATCTAACACCCTCTGCCCTCGGGCAGATATAAATGCTATTATCACCCTTCAAGAGAACTCAGACAACCGTAATTTACCCTGACAGTTAATGATTGGCAACCGATATTGTCTCTATTTTATCACAAATCACTCCAAGTCACGGTATTCTAGTGCAACATGCAACACTTTGAAATATAATTGAGTTAAATTATTTTTGTGATATTAATTTTATTTCATTAAACTCATTTTGAGCACTTACGCTCTTTGATAATGACACTTTATCTGATATTAAAAGTCAAGGTTTTTGATGTTGTTTCAAAAATGCATGATAAAATCATTTAGTTGCTTTAACCACAGACCGTGATATAAGCAATCATTCTTGGTTCATATTCACTTATTAAATCTATTTGTAGTTCCAATAATTAATTTGGAATAGAAAAGTCGACACAATGAATGTCATAAAATGAAGATATATAATTTCATCAGAAAGGCTATGATTGAAGAAGAAAGACCATGATTTCTGATGACCAGAGCTGTCAATTTACACCCTATTTAGCTGCTCATTCCAATAAAATAATTCTTATAAAGTACATAGGGGTAATACATAAGGGTTATGTACTGGGAGGTTTTGGATATGGGGTTTATCCAGAGGGAGATATGCATATCTACCTGAGGGACCGAGGGTAGATGTGCATATCTCACGAGGGATGAACCCAATATCCAAACCGACCGTACATAACTGCTTTATCCTATACCAAGTAGAGTTTTCTAATTTTCTTTCAATTTTTTTTCTATTTTTTCTGATTTTTTTTATTTCTATTTTTTTCTTTTTTTGAATTTTTATTCTTTTTTTCAATTTTTTCACTTTTTTCAATTTTTCTTATTTTTTTCAAATTTTTTTTCGAAGCGGGAAGATATGCCCTGGAGCAGGAGATATGGCGGGAGATATGAAGGTTCAGGATATGGAAATTTCAAAGTCAGGAAACGGGATATATCTTACCAACTTATCTCCCTAAAACTCTACTTGGCATAGGATAAAGCTTGTTATACAAACACTTGGTGGTGAAATAACTTTTTCAAGGTAAATCCATTATATAAAATTTGTTATTCTAGCAATGTCTAGGTACCATCCAGAACAACTGCAAATTGTGAAAACTACACAGTTCACTTAGATATAGATATACCATTGTTTGTCTTCAAGAACACAAAAGAAATGTACTTAAAAGGATTAGCTATATCCATGGCTTTAATGGCTGAGAAAAGGACTGTTGCATCCTACATGTAATAGTCTTTATGTGAATTTATGTAAATAAAACAAATGTTATTCAAATTAAATTAACAAAACTTCAAAGGCTAACCCGGTTTTCCTGTAATGGCTGCTGCATGCCACGCCCCACATGACACATGTGATACAAGATGGCTGCCAAGATTGACAAGGACAGGAGAGAAATATTTCTCGGATGTTGGCCTTGCTGCATTGATTGTGTGGCTGTTCTTACCCCACATGTACAGATGACCAGCTTCTATTTTATGAAAATAAAGTAATAATGAAGAATCAAAATGCTTAACTGTGTTATGATGAATCGCAATGCATGGCTGAATCATTATGAATCTCAATGCATGGCTGAATCATTATGAATCTCAATGTATGGCTGAATCATTATGAATCCCAATGCATGGCTGGATCATTATGACTCTCAATGCATGGCTGAATCATTATGAATCTCAATGCATGGCTAAATCATTATGAATCTCAATGTATGGCTGAATCATTATGAATCTCAATGCATGGCTGGATCATTATGACTCTCAATGCATGGCTGAATCATTATGAATCTCAATGCATGGCTGAATCATTATGAATCTCAATGCATGGCTGAATCACTATGAATCTCAATGCATGGCTGAATCATTATGAATCTAAATGCATGGCTGAATCATGATGAATCTCAAAAGGAATATCACAGTATTATATCGGTTGAGTTATTACTGCAGAATGTCTTGCTACAAGAATCTAAGTAGCTGTTTATGTCTTACCTGTGACAGCAGCACTGTACATGTCACCACAGGCGATATGTGTAACACAATGGCGTAACTCTTGGCAACTTATCATCCTGGGTCGCATGAGAAACTTCACCCTGTGACCTTGACCCAGTTGACCTTCTACTCCTGACCCCCAGGTGTACACATTGCCATTACCTGCAAACACATGGAAAACAATAGTACAGCAATACATATTAAAACGTATAACATGTATGTATTTTTGCAGACTTCTCAATTTAATTGACAGGTCCTTAATATTCTTCTTTTCTTACACATCGATCCCTAAACAAGACAAATATGTCTGGAAGATGAAAAAACATATAATTGAGAAACATACAAAATGACAGGTCCTATAATATTCTTTTAACAAATTGATTGATCCCAGAAATATAACAGAAATGTCTGAAACATGACAAAAAGAACTGTTAAATACAGAAAACATAATAATTATCCAGCAAAATTACAATTCTATATTCAGTCGCAGTCAATTTTTCCTACAAATTGACTGATCCCCCAAGTAAGCCGGAAAAGCCTGCAAGATGAAAAATACATATGTAATGAATGGAGTTAATCTTAAAGGCTGATCAGTGTCAATATGTCAACAACTTTAAGGACCTCATGGAGCCTCTTGGATCATACTGGATCCACACTCAACACAAATAAGTAAAATCCCTATGATCCTTTAATGATTTCTCATAGGGATTCCATGATTGTGATGCGTATGAAAGCGAGGATATATTTCATTGTGAACATGACATGTTTCATAACCCCTAGGATTAACTTAAGTTTTTATGAATGTTAAGTAATATACTATACTACTACCTAAGGCGGTTTAGTATACCATGAAGTATAGATACACAGAAAATAATGTGTTTCAAATGGATAATTTATTTTTTAACATGGATATCAATGGGATCCTTTATGGTAACTTTATGACTTAATATCACTTGAAAATATTAATTGAATTATGACAATCATATAAAAAGGCAGCACTTTTGTTAATAGATTGTCCCAATAAAAGTGACAAGGGATCTTTTGTCACTATAATGCTATACCTATTATGTAATTAACTAGCGTTATACCTAACAATAGGATACCCCCACATCTATGTACATTATACTCCCTGCTCTCTCATCGTGGATTAATAATTTATAGAATAATTGACGAGGGTGAGATGGGTTTGTAATTGTGTTTGAAGAATGGAATGAGCTTCTAAAGTTCATATCTGGTTAAGTGAATAGTTTTGTGTCAATATTAGAATGAACCGTGAGTCAAGTGGTTTGATCTGCTATCCTGTATAAAGTATCAATATAAAAGAGAACTAAATGTCATCTATAAGTGTTTGTTTGATGGAATAATGTGACATCATTGGTCTGATTATCTGGATTTGACCTCGAGATATGACATGCGTATGTTTATTTATCAAAATACTGATTAATCCTTTAATTTCAGAGATAAAAAATGTATGAAAAAAATATTTTTTTACAAATGTGTTAATTGAAAACAAGAACATAAAACTATCCATCCAATAAGTCGTAAAATAGAGATGGGAAAGACCTTTCTCGAGACAGTACCCATAATAAAGGTGCTAAATCATAAAACATCAAGAATATGTGGGGCCAGTCGATTCTTTTAGTCTTAAAATAGCAATTAAAAATGCTTCTTCAGCTGTTTCCTAAGTTTCTTGCCTCAATTATAACAAACAAAAGACAATAAAATTAAAATCAAATGTCCATTAACTTTTACTTTCGTGAGAAAATTGCCAATAAAGTCCAATGACCGTTAAGATTTCTGAGAGTTCTAAAATGTAATTTTAACACATGTTAAGTTTCTTTTCGTTGATGGACTTTATACACTATTAAAATCAAAGATTTCTGTTTGGTTCACTGATTAAGGATAACACCATTGAACTAAGAAAATTAGTAAATGCGTGTTTTCTTACTTTTTTTTAATCAGAGAGAATGGAAGCATATCTGTAACCAATTTTTTCTGGATGGAGAGCGTAAAAGTAAAAAGTTTGACAAATATGATTGATTTTCTCAGACATGGATAAGTTTAGACAATAATTTGCTCCAAAAAATATATATGCATTTTTTAAAATTGTTTTGGTTGATCTGACATCCTCAATACAACATCACTTTTACGCCATCACAAAGTCCATTGAAATGAGTAATTACTGAAACAATTAGTGTCTGTTTCATTATAACATCATCTTAACAAATACTTCAAAGAAGTCTCTCGAATTATAACCGATTACTTCCTCTTAAGATCAGCTTCCAAATTGTCACAAAGGTTAATTAAGGTCATTGACCTTCCAATCAAGGTCACTGACCCAGCCAAACTCTTGTTATCAAACATTAGCAATGAGGAAATCATCTCAAAAGGTTAGATAAGGTCAACCGAATCAGTGACAAAAGCTATTGTTTTACTATAATTGGTTAATAATTCTGTTGGCGACTTGCGGATAATGAGCAATTGATGGCTCTCTGAATCATGGTAGATAATGAAGCTGCCTTCTGCAATTATGAATATGAATCTTTGACTTCATAGATCATCAAACCATGCAAGGAGACATAAAGCTGGCACTCGTAAAGGAGTGGCCAATACATAATCCAACTGGACCTAAACTTTTTCAGTTTTGGAGTCTCGTGGGTGCATACCACGATTTTAGATTTACTTGAAAAATATGTTGGAAAATGGAAGTATGGTCTTTTGGAGTCTAGTGGATGCATTATAAGATTTTAGATTTAGTAGAAAAATGGAATTACAGACATATTTTCATGCTACTTTGAACATTGTGGCACTTGATCAACTGAAAAAGTTGCGGGATCAACAAAAAAAGTATGTTAACTGGACATTGTCGTAGAGTTTTTAATGCCTATCAATCAGTCAAATTGCTTCAAGAAATAGTTTTTCCCAAGATGTGATGGTTCAACAAAATGTTTTTTTCATATGAAATGGATAATCTCAAAAAAGCAAATGTCCATTATTTAGAAAGAGGCAGTAATCTAACACATCATGGATCTATTCTAGTATTTATGCTCCAAATGGTTGGTAATTGGTTTGAAGTTGAAATGGGCATGACTCCCTGACTCAATTTTTCAACCCAATAGTATGGCTGTTCACCTTCAAATATGCTTACTTCAGAAACACAATAAAGTACAGATTTTAAGAATCCCATTACACCAACTCTTCTAAAAGGAGCAATGTAATATTATATTTCGGTGAAATCCAAAGGTGAATGAAAGAACACATTAAACTGCCAGTAATAAATGTAAAATATATTGTTAATGTAAAATATTGGCCCCTGGCGCCAGTCTTAGACTCAGGCATACTACATGACAAAACTTGTAAAAAATTGATAGTGCTATTGTAAGCCTCAGTCTAAACGTTAAACAAAGTCACTCTGACCTCAGAACTATATAGATCAAAGTTCTAAGCCTTTATAATATGAATAATATACATGGGTTGCTATTTGATTTATAATAGGTCGCAATGTACTCTTCACAGTTTAAACTTTGCTTTTTAAAGTCTTAGGTTTACAAGATAGGTGAAGGAGGTGAAAAGCAATGTGTATCAAGTAACATCACAATGACATTAGGATGGGGCCTTGCTTAAGAAACCTCTATTAATTTCAGTATAAAAGGATACATGACTCAGCCTGTATAAAAACTGCCATTTTTGAGATGAATCTTCAAAAAAAAACTCATATCTCTAAATATTAATAGACCATTCGGTAGAATAATGGCCAGGAACACCAATCTCTGATCAAACCTTCGCCAAAATATAACATTTTGTAGTTGACGACTATTTGTCATAATCGTCAGGTAGATTCAGTCTTAGAAAGCCTATTGTAAAGTTAAACGATGAAGCACATGTACAGTATATAAGGATGTACTTTACCACATGCAAACGCAATCATAACCCTAGCCAAAATAAATATTAATCCAAAGAAAAATACCTCTATGAATCCAGGGAAGCCAAATGTTGAATAAAAAAGGTAATAATTGTTTTATTGAATCAATAAATCCTTTGGTGTCACGTCCTTTACTAAGTCGTCATTAAACTCTTATTTGCGGATACAATACCTGGTATTTGGTGAGACTTTCATCAAATACTCAAAGGCCAACCCCGTGTAAATGATTCCCCGGGTAGATGTCCTTTTATGTCAAACAGTATGAAAAACCAAGAAACGGACTTGGAATAACGTAAATCTATATATTGAATGTGAGCATATAAAAGGTGGAATTTGAACTGTTTGTATTTTGAATACAAAATTAATGAAATAGTAGTTATCAACGTGGAATGGTTTGAAGGGGTTAGTATGTTGACACAGAATGTATTTTTAAGAACACAGTTGTTTGAAGAGCATCTCAGATCAGAACCTTTACAATTGAACCAACCAAACAGAGCAGAAGGTCAACTTTAAAAAACTTTACTAATCAACGCTAGATTTCCTGAACAGAAAATATTTGTCTCGAAACAAAGACTGATTATAAAAAGGCAGAAATGTGGAATTTGCGTCAATTGTCCTCAATGGAAGCACTAATTGTTATGCACCTCATTGAAAAAAGAACACCGTTACTAAAACAACATTAATTTTTTCTGTTCAAGTGCCTGGGACTATTTTTAGTGTGGAGTGATATTTATACCTCGGTGATAAGGAATATTGTCAAACCGCTTATGTTAGATCATGAGGTCATAGTTTGATATAGCGTGATCTCAGGTCACAGTGACCTATGTTTCTTAAGTATGCCCCCTCTTAATTTAAAATCACATGTCAAATATATATACAACCTTTCAACATACAAGTTTAAACAATCTATTGAGTGATAAAAAACACACACATTAGAGTTAAACTAATAATTGGACTTCAATGCAGTAATGCCAACCTAACTACATGTTTAAGTGAAATTTCAAAAAACTTTCCGTGTTACGAATGAATGTGTCAATGACAGGTCATGGTCTGGAAATATCATGTAAAAATAATATTAAAATCTTAGTTTGAAGTAAAGAGAAGGTGGCTAATAAAGGGAGATCCAGCTGAGAAAGAAGTTTCTCCTTAGGGAGATAATGGGAGATATTTTGCTGTGGTTCATTCAATAGGGGTATCACACATCAAAAAATAATCAAATAACACACAAAGAAATAATAAC